AGGAGGTTGAGGGTTGAAAGATTAACTATTGATACAATGCTCAATATTTGGGAAATGTGTGCACTAGAAGCCCAATCCCCACTATTTTGTGTGTGTGTGTGTGTGTGTGTGTGTGTGTGTGTGTGTGTGTGTATGATTTCAGAAGTTTATTTGAACAAAGCCTTCAACAAAGAAGTGAGATAATACATCATCTGGGCTCCATGGCAGGCTTTTCTACAGAGCCTGGCACTAGCTTGATGATTTCTGCCCTGTTCCATGGGGCAGGAGGTTTCTGCACTGCTTTACTTCAGTCACAGGTGTACCTAAGGGGTATTGGGTGTGTTTTCATTAAGTCAAGCAAACAGGCTGGGCGCAGTGGCTCACGCCTGTCATTTCAGCACTTTGGAAGGCCGAGATGGGCCAATCACTGGAGGTCAGGAGTTCTAGACCAGCCTGGCTCTAATGGTGAAACCCCCTCTCTACTAAAAGTAGAAACAAAATTTAGCTGGGTGTGGTGGTGGGCACCTATAATTCCAGCTGCTTGGGAGTGTGAGGCAGGAGAGTCGCCTGAATCCAGGAGACGGAGGCTGCAGTGAACCAAGATTGTGCTGTTGTACTCCAGCCTGGGTGACAAGAGCAAAACCTCATCTCAAAATAAATAATTAAATAAAATAAATCAAGCAAATTAACAATCTTCTCCTCCCTTTGCTGGGAGTCAGGTGTGGCTAACGTGGCCCACCCTGTGGGCGACAGCCTCCAGAGGAAGCTGCTGTGGGGTCTGACAGCAGTGAGGAGGCAGCTCTCGGGTGAGCCCAGTGCACCCTCTGAGCCTCACCCCTCCTGTGAGCCCAGTGCACCCTCTGAGCCTCACCCCTCCTGTGAGCCCAGTGCACCCTCTGAGCCTCACCCCTCCTGTGAGCCCCAGTGCACCCTCTGAGCCCCAATCCCCACTATTATGCAACATACCCGGGTAACAAAAATGCACATTACCCCCGAATTAAAACAAACAAACAAACAAACAAATCGACAAGAAAACTCCATCACCAAGAACAAAATAACATTTAAGGAGTTACTATTGTCTACTAAGTAAAATAAAACCTCCTGAAAATCTCTTGGTGTTGCCCAAATTCCTAACTAACTTCTCACACAATTGAACTTGGGCAGCACAAATTTTGCTAAACCTTGTAAGTTTATTTTCTCACTGTTACACACCTTAGTCCAACCTACCATTCTATGGACTCATCTATTATATTAGTGATTTAATTGATCTCTTTACTTTATTCCTTCCATTAAACTATTTCCTACACATCAGCTATATTTTTTAAATGTCAAATTATGTCCTTTGCTGGAATTTGGCATCTCATTTGTCATTGGGTATTTCAAAAGTTCTTATTATTTACGATTTTCCCATATCTTTTACTATCTGGTATTCAAGTCTTTAATACCGTATTTCATTCCTTTCCGTCTCTTCACTGGGTTCCAGTCATTGTATTTCTTGTTCTTTGAACATATTCTTCATGTTTCTTCTTTCAAAATTGTTTCCACAGACTTCCCTGTGGATGACATGGTAGCATTCAGTTCTCTGAAGTGGCTTTTCCTGCCTGCCAATACAGCGTACCACAAATTCTTAACCATTATGTTGCTGCTGCTGCTTCAGATAATCATACATGAATGTCTGAAATTATATGTGGTTGAGGCAAAAGTAATTCTGGTTTTTGCCGTAACTTTCAAAGGCAAAAGCTGCAATTACTTTTACACCAACTTAATATTATTTATTCATTCATCAATATCATGTCTTCTCCCACCCAAATGTTACTTTATTGCATGTAAGGCCCAAGTTCTTCACACCTATATTCTGAATGCTTAGAAAACTGTCCATAATATAAGTGATCAATATATATTTACTGGATAAATACCTTAATTAACTTGGCAGTGCATTAATTTTCTATGCCTTTTCGCCTTTTAAGATTCTACCTATTTTTTAAAGAGCATATAGCCTTTTAAATTCTACCCATTTTTAAAGAGCATATAGAATGCTATTTCTTTCACGGAACTTTATCTATCTGCAAAGTGATTGTGACACTTTCTTTTAAGCACTGTAGAATTAAATCATGATGTTAATTCTGACTTAAAAGGTTTTTTTTTCAGTTCCTCTGTCTAATCACTAGATAGTGATCACCTCCAAGAAAACAGTTAAAATTCATGAGCTTGATATCCATAATGTACTGTAAATTTCTGACTCACAGTAAATACATAATCTAGAAGCATGTGTATTTATAATTTATGTCTTTGCTCTCTCTCTACTTATTTATGTTTGTTGTCTGTCCTAGAATGAGGGTTCGGACTTATTTTTTGTTCAGTACTATATCCTCATCTCCTCAGGAACCAGCAAGTAGGAGAAACCCCTTAAAAAACTGCTGAAAGAGTGAATATCTGAATATTTGTTTCACTAATATAACATTCCCTAAAATATTCTAGAAACTTGTCAGTGAGAATTCTCCTATTATCATCTGTTAAATTTATTTTAAGCCTGCTATATCTTCACTGATCATTTAAATGTCTATTCTATCCAGCAATATCTGAACATTACTAGAATTTTAATTATGCCTAATTTTATCTGAAAATAGTTAATTTAATATTTTAGAAACATTTACAAAAATGTATGCCAGGTTCTAGGGATAATGTGGCTAGAAAATTTGTTATCTGAGACTAAGCAATGCACACTGATTTATACGTTTCAACTTTCTAACAGGGCCTTAGGTGTCTCAGTTTACTTTACTCTGTAAAGCACTTTGTAGACTCTTAGTCTATATTTATTCTTGCTAAGTGTAGGAGAGAGATGTAAACAAGGGTAACTTAAGGATAGGTTGGTGCCAAAGTAATTGTGTTTTTTGCCTAATATTTCTACCTAATATTTTACCTGAGTAAACCAGTGGCAAATAAAATAAATATTTTGTACTATAGGATTTAAATATTATGTACAAATACTACTTATTTCACCTAAAAATAGAGCTTAAAGTAATGTAATTACTGTAGAGAAAGAATTTAGAACAAATGTAATACAGGCAGGATACATTAAAAATGATCATGGTTAAATTATCCTCAATGGTGTATAGCAATTATGAGTAACAATACCGTGTTACTAAATTGTTTCATAAAACCTTAGTCCAAAGAATTTTACAGCATCACTTATTTTACAGAATGCTGCTTAAATTACTGAAAATAGTTATATGAGGACATTTTATACTGAATAAATATAAGTGTTTTGTTAGCCGGTGAAGTATAAGAAAGAAATTAAAAGTTAAAAACGAAGAGAAATAACACATTTTAAAATGCCTCTTGAAGATTAATATGTTCTATTGGCTATGTTTACTATTTGAGCATAAAATATCAAGACTAACTAGTAAAGAAAATTTATGAAAAACATTAAGAAAATCAGAGGCCTTAGACATATGCAACAATTCACTGCACACATAATGCAATGTTTTGTTTGGTCATTTATGTATTTTTCTTTAAATCAAGCCCTGCTCCTGGTACACTGTTTTATGCTGACTCTGATCAAGTAACAAAGTTCACTTAGCTACGTAATAGGTGTTCCAGAATAATCATAGGTGACTTCACAAAGCTGATTCCTTAGGTTCAGTTCTCAGATAACCTGCCTTATTACCTGTCTTCATGTTCAATTAATGGTTCCAGTTCCCTTGTTTCATTATCATTTTAACATTTAATCAATCCTAACTAAACCAGAGCTGAAGATTCTCAACATACTCCACCTCACCTATTACAGAAGTTCATATTTTTCCCATAAATGTTCACTGCATTCGCTCCACCTTAAAACTTTCATAAAATTCCTTGACAAAGTTGGATTACTGAATAGTAATTCAATTTTAACTGTGTTTCAAGTCCATTTTTCTAAATATAAAAAGAATATATTTCCAATGTATTTGCTTCTAAATTAAATGTGTATATCTGCCTGATATATACACATATATTAGATTATCACATGTATTTATCACTTTAGTCATTAGATAAATATGTATTGAGAATCTTCTTTGGGTCGGATGTTGTAAGAGTCCCTGGGAATACAGCAGACAAAGAGAAAGGCAAGTGATGGCTAGAGTGTGGAGGAATTGGAACCCTTGTGCACTGCTGGCGGAAATGTAAAATGGTGCAGCTGCTATGAAAAACACTATGGAGATTCCTCAAAAAATTAAAAATAGAATGACTGTGTTATCCAGCAATTCTATTTTAAACTATTTACTGAAAAGAACTGAAAGCAGGATCTCAAAGAAATAATTGTATAATCAGGTTTATTACAGCAATATTCACAATGGCAAGAGGTGGAAGTAAACCCAATATCCATCAATGGATGAATTAATTTTTTAAAACGGTATGTACATACAATGGAATATTATTCAGCCTTTAAAATACAAAAAATGCTGTCAAATATTACAGCATGGATGAACTGTGAGGACGTTATACTAAGTGAATTTCATTATAGTAAGTGAAATAAGTCACTCACAGACATAAACTGTATGACTCCATTTATATGAGGTACCTAAAAGACTTAATCTCAGAGAAAGAGAAGGTAGAATGATGGTTGCCAATGGCTGGAGGAAGGGAAAAGTGGAGCATTGCTATCCAATGCATACGGTTTCAGATTTTCAAGATGAAAAACTTTTAAAGATCTGTTGCACAACAATTTACATATAATTAACACTACTGTATCACACATTAAAATGATTAAAATGGTAATTTTTGTGTCGTTTTCATTAACCTATAATTTTAAAGAGGTTTATGCTCCAGTTTATGCCCAACTTAGAGACGCAAACTGATATTTTAAAGTCTAGGAAGGGGCAAAACTAGGCTTCGCCTCTTCCTGCCTCAATCTAATACCCTTGATTTTTCGACCTTCTATACCGGTAGCTACAATCTTTTTTCTCCAAGAAAAAAGTTTAGGTTTATAGGTACCTGTATTGAAGCAGAAACTTTTCCAGATGGCACATATATGCTTATTAGTGATGAATTGCCAGCACGTAGATCGGAGGATCACAAGTAATTTTCAACCTCATAAGAAGAAGCTGATAACATTGGTATGTTCTCTGCTCTGTTGAAGACAGATTCCTAAATATAGGCTAATAGAAGTAAGGTTTTGATGGATCTGTGTATGAGAACTTACGAACAATAGAGGCAACTATAAGATCGAGGCAAATCCTAATTTAAATTACTGGACAGTAAAAAGTCATGCATCCAAAGTTTAGCATCATCTTCCTCATGCCAGACTCTGTTTTGTCAATTTCATATTCATTTCTTCTGTTAATTTTTTCTCAGTCTAACATACAATTTCTCTTATTCTCCAACTTGACTATCTTCATTTCTTCTTTCTTTTGCTCCATAAAGTTATACAGTATATTTTCCTTTTTCTGCAAGATTGTAGATTTATCTGTCTCTCCTGATTGAATCACGACTTTTATGGACTTCTGACCATTTTGGCACCCCTCTGCTGCTCACGCAACCTTGTTGTCTGGAGATATCCTCCTGTGCATTCACACATGCTCATTCTCCTGTTTCCCTGAGCATGGCATTGAAACAAGCAGGCAGAGGAAATGGCAAAATAATGATAGACGTCCTCTAAGAACTAGGACATTCTTACATTACTGAAAATGTTTAGGCTGCATACACCCTCCTTTTTCATAATGCCAAAAACCAATGTGTAGCATCAACATTTTTGGCCAGAGTCTGAAGTTAACCCCTCTTTCATATTTTTATACTCCTAAATATATACCTATAATGTAATTTAGTATTTATTTTTAAGATATTGAATGTCTTGGAAGAACAATATTATATAACATATATTATCATATATTTAATCCTCAAAAAATCTTATTAGCAAAAATGGAAAAGAGTATCTATGCATTGAGGCGGCTAACTTGTTTAATTAATTTATTTATTTATTTATTTTTGCATTAGGATGACTTTTACTTCAAATTCTACTCCACACACATTTCCATCAGTTTAGTCACCTCTTCCACTCTCTGATAAAGTTCTCCAATTTTTAACCTAACTGAAACAATTTCTTACCCTTTGAAAAATACCATATTCCATCAAAAGTCTTGACATTGCCTTCTTTCTCATATCTGACTACTGCAGTGTAAGTACTAAATTATATCATTGTTAGCACATGTTTTATGTTTGCTAAATGATTGATTCTGTTTAATATATTTGCAATGAATGTCTTAACAATGGGAAAGGCAATAAACATTGTAACCCTGATATTACATGGATGCTTCACATTAGTTCATGATTGTATGGTTATGCAAAAATAACTGAGAAATGGAATTTATTTAATATAAACATCTTTAAGATGAAAGAATTTTTAGTAGTGTGGTTAAAACTATGCTCTTTTTTCTATGCCAAAATTGCATAAATTTTGTTTTGGAAATTCATAAAATTTGCCTAAGCAATTTGGAATGTAAATCAAGGGAAATTCTTTTATATCTGGACTTCTGTAAAATATCATGATCTGTGTTCTAAACATAGATTGCACATAATAAATAAATAATTTAGTATTTAATGTCCTGGATTTAAAAATGGATAATTTACTGTATTCAAAAATGTTGGAAGAAGAAGAACGCCATGTGAATGTGAACTGAAACGTAGGATGCTGTGTCTACAAGTTAACAAATTCTAGCGATTGGTGGCAAATCATCAGAAGCATGACCCAGATCTCTCTCACAGACTCAAAAGAAACCTAACTTGCCAACACCTTGATCTCAGACATCTAGTCTCCAGAACTCTAACACAATACATTTTCATTGTTTAAGATACCCAGTGTGTATTCTTTTGTTATGACAGCCCTAGCAAACTGAGACAAACAATGTAGGAAAAGCACATGAGACACTGCCACCCGGGTTGCCAGCACCTGTTAACACAGACGTCTGAATGGTCAGAGGGATGAGGAAAAGTTACTGGTCCCTACAGAAAAGAAAGATTATAGGGAAGTGACACTTTACTCAGAAGGATGCAGCCGGTCCAGGAAACCTGTCAAGTCGAATGGGGGTAAGAGTACCTTAAATTGGCTTTGCCAGCTCCCATTTACAGATGTCCTTTCTGAGTCACCTACTTGATGAATTCAACTGAAGAACCAGTGATATCATCCTCTCATGTTTCAGCCGTGGGAGGCACAGAGTGGAGTGGAGATGGCTAGATATGCACCTGGAGGGGCAGAAAAAAATATCCACTGCACTCTCAGTAGCTTTTAGAGTATGTTTTATTTATTAACTGGTTACTACATTGCTATCATAGAGGTTTATTTAGAGTAATTTGAATTAAAATATACTTTTAAAAAATCTTTGGGGTCTAGTTAAATTCTATTTCTCTAAGAAAGATTTCCACAGAATATTTTTATCTAAAAGCATAGTAAGCATAGAAGGTGGGCAAAAAGTGCTGAAAAGTGACATTCATTACATATAATTTTCATTATACAGAATGTTGATTCTATGGGACAATATGATAGACAACTTTATAATTAACCTTTTAAAAATTGTATAATATTGCTTGTGCTAGGGTGAGCTGTTGTTATACAGAATAATATGCACAAACAGGAAAGCATGATCACTTGTAAAAAATTTGGAAAATATGGGTTTTCATGATTAACAGTTTTTAAAATCAACTATGCATATAAGTGACATAGCTAGAAATTCTGAAGACAAATATATATTGGCACCTCAGTTTTGGAAGTGCAATAATTTCCCAAAAAGTATTAAGTCACAGAATCCATAATAATTGAAACCACTTTCTCAAAAAAAAAAAAAAAAAAAAAAAAAAGGTACCTCCAGGCCAAGAGGGCAATCACAAGGCGTATTGTGATAATCTCAGTTACTCAGGATTCAAACCTTGCAATCAGCATGAATTCGTCAGTCTTTCTAATAAAGTATTTAACATCCAACAGCTTTTTATTACATATCTGTAACATTGCTCTGATCAGCTTGTCAAATACAGGTTTCTTTCCTTTCTACTGTCCCTCTCCTAGTGTAGATTTTCAGTACATTTCCTGGGGTGATTGAGGTAGACACTTAATTGGTTTCTCTGCTTCAGGTCTTTCTTATCTTCATTCCTTTCTACACATTTCTTCCAGATTAATCTTTCTAAAGCATTGCCCACGTCATGTCATTATCCACTAAACAGTCTGTCATGGTTTTCCGTTGCTCCAGTGACCATATAATTTGTCATTCAAACTGGGAGACAGTTGAGACTAAAAGAGGCATGATAAATAATCACTCTCAGGCAACAGGTGTAAACTAGGATTGTCCTGGATTCTACCCATTCCTGCAACCCTTCTTGATTTCTTCCAAAACTTCCATTTGTCCTTTTCAGACAAACTGAATTACTATATATCCTGACTACTCACCTCAGTTTATTTGTCATTTAATTGTGGATAGATAGCTTTCAGAATTTTCAATGATAAAATTAGATAATATAAATACATGGAACTCATTGGGCACTCAATGTTTCTGACAATCTTATTTAATCAATGTCACTAAAATATATGCAGAATATCCACACTTAACATACAATACTGGCAATAAACATCACCTTGGTGGTTTTACATCTGTTGACATTGTTAAATTCCAATTAATCCAGATGTTTCTTATAGTTGTTTGGCTAAGTCTCTGAAAATTTTTATTATTTACTTTTCCCCTCTACCAATGATAAATATAAATTTGGATTAATAAAACAGTAACATTTGGATTAATGCATGCATAATACCATTATAAACCATTCTGATTTTTTTTGTTACAATTTTGGATCACACACACACAAAATCATTATTTTAACAGTGTTATATGCATAAAGTAATACTAATTTTTCTTTTAAATTTTTATATCACATTTTCTGTAACAATTTAAAAATTTAGTTTTTTGAGGGATTAATGTATAATTTAAAATGGCATTTGATATCCCCTTTATTGAACAATTCAGAAATATTAAATTATATCTTGATTAGGAAGTAGAAAGTGAACTCTACCTTCAAGAATGTTTCAGTATATGTCAGAAGTATATTCTTCTACATAAACTATAAGCAATTAATTATTTTATGAATACATGTATATAAAATGGTCTTTAATGAGATAAATTTGATCTACTTTAAGTCAATGTATTATTCATCTGGCCTATATTAAGATATCATTCTCCATAGATTAAAATCAAATTAAAAAGAATTTGTTTCTTGTATTTCAATTTATCAAATTAAATTTCAAGTTTGTTTCTTCATTTAGATACTTAATCTAGCAGAAAAAATCTTGACTTCTAGCATTTTATTTTCAGTCTTTTTTGCCTTATGATGTACATATTACCAGAGCATTAATCTCCAATGATACTACATTCTATATATTTGCAACAGAGACTTTTACATATTTTGTTGTTTGCTTAATTATTTAAATTCTTTTATTTGTGGTTCAACTTTAATGATTCAGTATTTTTGATTTAGTAGAAGTTATTATTAATAATATGATGAATATTCTACCTCAAATAAATATTCAGAATTATAAATAAGATATATTGTATATATTGTTTAAATAATGCTGTTTTAAAATTCATTCACAATGTACTTTGCTTCCCAAAGAAAAATGTAATTAGTTATAATTTTTTGTCTAATGTTTTGATATTTTAAAATTCTAAAATATTCTTAACAATGTATAATTGAACCATTTGAATACTGTATACAGTCATTTTTGAATACTATTAATTTGTTTGGATTTTCTCTTAGTGACTAAGCAACTTTAACCCACTTCTATCTGCAGTACCACAAGTTTTATTAGTGATGCTTTTAATATTAATTAGATCCTTATAATCTTATTTTTAAAACATCTAAAATCCTTTGGGTCAAACTGTATACTTGAAATCTCACCTTCACTAAGTAATGTAGTACAAAAAACTCTATTAGTGTAATAAAAATATCTACTTCCCTGGAAATTTATTAGTTAGAATTATCTATGAGAATTCTCTACTTACATCTTTTCAGACTAAGAATTTTTGACACTTATACTTTCTGAA